AGGTGTGCAAGTGCAAGGCATGTTTTGAGAATGGCCCGTAGCTCAGTACCAGGGGCTACAGGACACTGGGGAAAGCTGTGGTCAGATGGGACTAGAGGCAGGGTCACCTCCAAAGGAGCTTACATGATAATTAGAGAAGATTAGACTGTTCTATAGGCAACAGAGAACTGAGAGTGGAAAGATTTATGGACTGGATACCTGTTTCTGGTCCCAGCTCTACCCCTCCTAGGTTATGAGACATTAAGCAAGTGATTTGCTCTCTGGGGAGCCCTCTTCACTCTGTTTGAATGAGGGGGTTGCACCAATGACATGATTTTTTAAGATCCCTTCTAGTTCAGATTCTATTCCTGCTTCTCCTTCCAACTATATCAGTGGTCCTCAACCGTGGCTGCACATTAGAATCACCAGGGAATGATTCAGCCAAGGTTGAGTATCATTGAACTATATGAAAAGATCCATTCCTGCAAGTCTTCTCTTGTCTATTGGTTCCCTAATCCATGGTGGTGACAAGATCTCCAGAAGGACCAGTGGCAAAACTGTGCATCCCAGGAGTTGTCTCTGTATTCCCTACATGCTTTATGTGACTCCCCCCACTCTGCCTCTATCACATTTCCAGGTACTTAAGACACTCATTTTTAAGAGTAGCTGAAACAGAGCAATGGGTAATCCTAAAAAACCAATGGTGGTGGTTCACTTTCCCCCAGAAAAATCTGAAAGAAAATGTCACTAAGATACCCACTTAATCCTTTCGATCACAGCTGTATGCCTCCACCTCCAAGTTAGAGGTCAGGTGAGTTCAAGCACAGAACATTTAGGGAGAAACTGTTAATGTGCAGGAAATAGTAGCAATAGTCTGTGGAGGAAGAGAGTGTGTCTGGCTTGTTCAGGGGACCTGGAGTAGGTCTGGAGCAGAAAGGGCCATGAGAGAGGAGACTCGAAAGGAAGGTTAACTCCTCCAAAACTTACCACCTTGCCCCCTTACTGGATCCTCGATTAAGATGGGCGGGAATCTGTAGTGCAGGAAAAAGCAGTAGTCATGGAGCTAGAGGAGATGATGCCCAGAACACAAGGAGGCTGTGTTTGGGGTGATACGCAGCTGAGATGTCAGGGAATGCTGCCATCAGTAGTGAAAAGAACACCGAACAGCATTCCGTGGGTCACTTTACCTACTGAGCTTCAGTTCTCCCATCTACAAAACGCAGGGGTTGGCCTAGAATCTAGATGTTGAGTGATCTTCTGGTTGTTGTTGTTAATCCTCACCCAAGGATTTTTCCCCCTTTGATTTTTTAATTTTATTTATTTATTTTATATTTTTATTGATTTCATAGATGAAGGGAGAGGGAGAGAGAGATAGACACATCAATGATGAGAGAGAATCATTGGTTGGCTGCCTCCTGCACACCCCCTACTGAGGATCAAGCCCACAACCAGAGCATATGCCCTTGACCGGAATCGATGCTCTATCCATTGAGCCAAACCAGCTAGGGTCCCTCCCCTCTTTGGTTATTTTAGAGAGAATGGAAGGGAAGGAGGGAGGGAGAAATGGGGGAAGAGAGAAACATTGATGTGAGAGAGACACATTGATTGGTTGCCCCCTGCATGTGCCCCGGGGATCAAACCTGCAACCCAGGTACATGCCCTTGATTGGAAATTGAACCCATGATCCTTGGATGTGTGGGCTGGTGCTCTAACCACTGAGAAACACCAGCCAGGGCTAACTGATCTTTAAAATCTCTTTCAGCTTGGTCAGTTCCTTCCTAACTGGCCTATCTCCTATTTTAAGTTAAAGACTCTTCAGGGCAATAGCTTTATCTCCCTTGTCATTATGAACTTCATAATCAGTGACTATCTTGGAGCCAAGGAGCTCGGAAAGAGGAACAAAACTGCAAATGTTGCCAACTGCCAGATCCCCAACTTGGGACCCAGGGGCAGGTCAAAAAGAACCAACCTGTTCCTTTATCAGCTCTCTCTGTCTCTCCTGACCCAAAAGGACAGGATGTCCTTACACCTAGACCCTCTCCCCCACCCCAATCCAGCACATAAAAATCAGTAACTGTGACTTCTTTTCTTTTCCCATCAGACTACCAGCATCCAGGTCCACACAGAGAAGTCCTCTCACTGAATCTCCCCTCAAAGCCCACCCTCTTCCCCTATCCCCACTTTCTGCATAGACTCTGTCTCCTCCCCAGACTAGATCACCCCGGCAGGGGAACTATTAAGAGGAAAAATGAATAAATCAAGCAATTTGGTTCTCAGTTTCTCTAGGCTGGAATAGTAAGTGTAACTCAGTCCCAGGGCTCAGAATTTTAACTTGTGAGGAACAAGTCTGCAGCCTTCTTTATCTTGTGATTGGAGAGGCTCTAGTCTAGAAAGCCCCCAAAGTGCTTTTCCCACCAGCCTATCTGATCTCCCATAATTTCACAGCATGGTTTTGTGATTTGCAACCTCTTTGGATATTAGTGCTGGCCGGAACCTATAATAAAATCCCTTCAATTTATCGATGCAGACAGAAGCCGGGGGCCCAGAAAAGGGAAGTCACATGCCCAAAGGCACACACACAATAGCTGAGCCAAGACAGCTCCTTGGGTTTCCATTTCCTTCCCTGTAAAAGGACGGACATTAGGCTGGATGGACTCTGACGGCCCTGCCAACCTCTGTCCCACAAAAATAAAACCACCACCATGTCTGTGGAGTGTCTGGTGCCATTCACTAAGTAATTTTCTTTAATTTTCACAATGAGCTCTGCTACAGGTAGTGCTGATGCTGTTACCATGTGCATACCCAGTATATCCAAATAGGCTGTTGTGAATATCCTTTGTTCCTATGTAAAATATCAACCCAACTGCCAACTGCCATTCTACCACTTATATCATTCCCTTGGCTCTCCGGCCCTTCCAGTCTTTCAGAGGCTCCTGCTAAGACACCAGTGCCCTTGAAAAAGGGAATGTTTTAGGCTGGTCCCTGAGCAGGAGTTCACATGTTAAACTGAGGTTCCTCAGGAAGTCACCCAACTGAAACATTGTGGGCCGGGAGTTGGGGGGCAGCAATCAGAGGTCCCTTGGCCACTGTACAGTTCCTGTAGCTGTAACTCCAGGCTGGCCTGGCCCAGCTGCTGCAGGAAGGGGAGGAGAAGAAGAAGGGGGCGGTGGTCAAAGCCCACAGCAAGGCTATTGCACAACCCTTGGGGCCCAGCCTGGGGCGAGCCACCCTGCTTCTGAAGGTTTTTCTTTGTTCGCTTCCTTCCTTTTCTGCCCCCTCTCCTGCTTTCCAGTTCTGGGCCTCCCAACTCCCGAGGTGAATACTGAGACCGCAAATGTGTCCAGAGACATCCTAAAGAGGCTGAGGGGCTGAGGAGCCCTAGGGCGCCCAGAGGGAGATTCCTGAAGCCAGCGCTGACCCAGAGGAATTTGCCGGGTATTTGGTGAGTCTTCCAAAGGACCCTTGTCACTGGGTTTTCTGCCTTAAATCTCACCCTCAATTCAGTCCACAGAGCAGCCAGAGTGTCCTCTCCAAGCACAGATCTGGTCCTTTTAAATACTGTTTCATGACTATTCCCCAACTACAGATAAAGTTCTAGCTCTGCAGATCCGGGTTGCCCTCCTTCTGTCCTGTCAGTTAAAAGCCCCCTGTAAGAATATCTAAGAAAGCTGGTAACAGTGACTGCCCTGGGCCACTACAAATAGGGAGATTTCCCCTTCATTGTATGTCCTGTGAGTCCGTATTTACTTCTCAAAAATGAAAAATCAACTTTCATTTAAATGGAAAATCATGTTTACATCAAAATATATTTTTAAAATCTTCTTCACCATAATAAAAGTATCTGCTCAAACAAGCCTGGAAGGAGGCAAGGCAGGGATGGTAATCTTTTTTAAAAATTGTGGTTATAAAAAACCGCATAACATAAAATTGACCATGTTAACTATCTTTTAAGAGTACAGCTCAGTAGTGTTAACTATATCACATTGTTGTGCAGTAGTTTTCTAGAACTTTTTCATCTTGCAAAACTGAAACTCTATACCCACCAAACAACATCTCCTTATGTTAATCTTTTTGATAGACTAGAAACTAAAGCCCAAAAGGGGTGAGAAATTTATTTCTCTCAAAGTGGGCCAGGAGGAGATTATACCGCCTTACACCGCCTTACAGGCCTTACACCGCCTGTCTGTTGTCTGAGGCCCCTTCCTCCCTAACCCTTGCATTAGCCATTTCCTCCCCAAATGCCTCTCACATCCACATCGGCCCCTGCCCCCATCTTGTCATTCCCTAAGCCCCAGCTCAGGACTGAGTGTCTTCCAGCTGAACTATTCCAAGACGCTTGTTGTCACTGGGTTTTCTGTCTTAAATCTTGCCTTCCATTCAGTCCACATAGCAGTCAGAGTGTCCTCTCCAAGCACAGATCTGGTCCTTGTATCCCCTTTTTAAATACTGTTTCATGGCTCTCCCCCAACTACACATAAAGTTCTAGATCTGCAGTCTGGCACTCAAGACCCTCCATGATCTGGTTCAACCAGTATCTCCATCCCACATCCTATTGTAGCCCTCCATACATCTCACACTCTAGCCGCCTACTGCTCCTTTCCATTCTTTTAAACATTTTATGTGCTTTCTGGTTGCCATGCTTTTGTTCATCTGTTTCCTTTTCTTGCCTTTCCTAGGAACCCTTCGAGGTCCACTGGAAGGCCTCCATCACTGTGAACACTTTCTGAGTCCTGATCAAAATTCGTCTCTTCTTCCTCAAGCCCCAGTAGACCCTGGCTTGTCCCCTGTATTATAAAGAGCTGGCAATGTGCCCACGGTACAGGGACTGGATCTGAGCTTACCCAAGAGTGAGCCTTCATAAATGATGACTGGTTGAATCATTAGTTGAGCCATTAATTTCATTGTGCTGTTCCTGATTTCCATTGGCCTGTATGAGGGGAAAGGGCGCAGATTTGTTGCCTGACAAGGCGGGTAGATGAGAACTTATGCCTCCTGGGTTTTAACTCAGCGAGCCCTTGTTCTTTTCCCCTTCTCCATCCAGATAAGGTAGCCCAAGTGCTATATAGCATGGGGCTCCAGAGGCCTTGTAGGAAATGTGGGCGAGTCCTGGACTGAATTATTTAGATTCTTCTCCCCCCTACCACACACACAACTTCTGCATTCTTAGAGTTGTTCATGAATTTTATCATAGTTCATGAATTTTACCGTCATCTTTTCTGGGAAAGAGACCTTATGGTTAATAATCAAGTTTGTTAACTTTGGTTGGTTGACAGCTCTACCTAGATAAAGGAGGGCTTCAGAACCAGTCAGTAACTCTTGAGTGCTTGGACTATGGAGAAGTCCCTGACCTGGCCATCTTTACTCAAGACTATTGAGGAAAGGAGAACACCCAGCCAGTCTCAGGTTAGAGCACCAGGGAAGGAGAATTCCCAGGAAATCTCAGGATAGCCCCATAGATGGAGGGGAGAGACATAGCTCTGCTGACCAGGAGCATGTGGTTTGCTGATACCTTTATCAATAACCAGAGAACAGCCACACAGCGCCTTATATATAAGTGCTGGGCAAAGGGAAGGCTGTTCTAATAAAGCTTGTGGAGTATGGTAAGGGGTGGGGAATACTCAGTGAAGGTTTCCAGAAGGAAGTGGGTGTAGAGCCTTGTTTAAAGGGAATGACATCATTTTTTAGAGACTAGGACAAAAGGCTGTCTTCGAATGGTTTTCTATATTATAGACTAAGGGTCTCCAGAAGAAGGAAAAGGAACATTTACCATCACCTATCATATGCCGGGTATGCAATGACTATGTCAGAAGGCAGGATAGTGGAGGTGCTGTGTCTTCTCTCTCTTGGGGGCAGGTAAAACCCCAAACCAGACTGAGTGCCCCTGTCGCTCCCCATCCTCCAGCCCAACCCTATTCTCTTCTCCCAGTGCCTGCAGGGGTTATCAGCCTCTCTCTGCTTCCCCAGCCATTCCTTTCCAATAGAATTTCCTACAGAATCCTTCTCAGCAAAATCCTAAATAGGTAGGAATACCCAAAGTGCTTGGGACATAGGATGCTTGAGAGGTCAAATGACCCAGCTCTGGTTCTAGGTAAGGTGAAATCTAAGCCATCTCCAAACATCTCAGTGGGACCTGTGGAGTATAAAAAAGAACTGTGCTGAAGGAGAGCCCTGAGGGAAACTTCCAGTGATGCCACACAGTCCTGCCAAGAGCTGGCAGGAGACTCGAGAAACTCCAACTAGCCATCAAATAGCAGGACTCGGTCTAAACTCTACCTCTGAATATTCTCTGGGATCATGGCCAAGCCACTTATTCTCTCTGTTCCCCTGTATGTATGTATGTATGTATGTATGTATGACGGAGTTAGATCAAATAATCCCTAAATTTCTTCTAGCCTAAAGCTCAGTGACTTACAGAATAAAAATAAAAAGACAAATGGGTTGCAATGGCCAAGGAAGGCTTTATTCCACAGGTACTTATTGAGCATCTATTGAGTGCTGTCATGAGGTCTTGTATATAGCAGTGAGTAAAACACAGTCCCTGCCTTCATGGAGCTTGCAGTCTAGTGGCGAAACAGACAAGTAAACAAGTAGAATAAACTGTGATGTTGGGATTTTAGCTGGGGTCTGAAGGAGTGAGATCAGTCAAGCTGCAAGTAATGGAAACCATCCTTCCTTTTTCTGTTGCCACCAGAGTGTCCTCCAATTCTTCCCCACCTGAATCCCTGTTGCGATGGAGACCACCAATGGGACTGAGACCTGGTATCACAGTCTGCACGCTGTTCTGAAGGCTCTAAATGCCACTCTTCACAGCAACTTGCTCTGCCGGCCAGGGCCAGACAACCTGACTGAGGAGCGGCGGGCCAACCTTCCTGGCCGCGATGACAACTCCTACATGTATATTCTCTTCGTCATGTTCCTATTTGCTGCCACTGTGGGCAGTCTCATCCTGGGATACACCCGCTCCCGCAAAGTGGACAAGCGCAGTGACCCCTACCACGTGTACATCAAGAACCGTGTGACTGTGATCTGATGTTAGGACCTGGGGTGGCTGAAGATCAAGACAGCTGGGGATTGTCTTCTGAGGCCCCCAGAACTCAGCCACGGATCACGTCAGGCCTCTGTTCCTTTCTGTTAGATCAACAAGAAACGGTGCTAGGGGATGCCATCACTGGGCTGGGAGGAGAGAGGCCTTGTGGAACAGGACTTTTTTCCATCAAAGATAGACTTGATAGACAGTGGGAACTATGGACAATCATTTAGAAGTAGCAAAAGATAAAAACCAATGACTGGTCCTGTGGCTGGAGTATTGGGGGTTGGGAGTTTTGGACTTGAGGAAGGAGAAAAGGATGTTGTAGCAGAGGGAAATAAAACAAGAAGATGTACTGAGGACACATTTTTGTGTGTGTTATCTTCAGTGACCATGAGAAGCAGCAATTATTATCCCATATTACAGATAGTATAATGTTACTTATTTTTGTTCACATTTTATGTTTTTCAACCCATTTAACACTTGTGATTTTATCCCCCTGTGAGGGAAGCATGCTGTCCATTTGGGCCAGAGCAGTGCCATGAGTGCAAGTCAGAAACTCTGATCTCCTTGCCCAGTGCTTCTCAAAGCACTGTGCTGCACAGGAGTGAATCAAAGCCTAAAAGTCAGTCACACAATTCTGGGGGCCCTCCTTAAAAAGAATTCAAAAATATCCTACTTATGCAATTATTACAAAAGTATATTACCACTAGAGGCCCGATGCATGAAATTCGTGCACTCAAGGGGCGGGGGGAGCGGAGTGGGGGAAGGGTTCCTCAGCCTGGCCTGCGCCCTCTCGCAGTCCAGGAGCCCTTGTGTGTGTTGGGGGGGTGGGGTGTCCAACTGACATCCTTAGTGCTGCGTGGAGGCAGGAGAGGCTCCCGCACTGCTGCTGCACTCGCCAGCCACAAGTCTGACTTCTGGCTGAGCAGCGCTTCCCCTGTGGGAGGACACTGACCACCAGGGGGCAGCTCCTGCATTGAGCATCTGCCCCCTGGTGATCAGTGCACATCATAGTGACCGGTTCCACAGTTCGGTCGATATTCATATTAGCCTTTTACTATATAGGATGTTAAAACATTCCTAGGACCCCTCCTGAGACCTAAGAAGGAGCCATGTGTGCACAGGGCTCTGAATGTTAAGCCTCATTAGCTCCATGGTTCATGTGCCTCTCCAGCCATGTCACGGTGGTGCCCTTCCCAGCCACAACTCCAGCATTGAGGTTTCACTATCTCTAACGCAGCCTCTTCCATTTTGATTGAGTTATGTGAGAGATTTTCTGATACCAAGTTGAAATCTGCTTCTACAAGATTATTATCACACCTGGAAAGTTATCCTATGAAAAGGAGCAGGGTGTGCAAGGCCGGTACCTGGTTCAGTGGAAAGAGAACCAGCCCTGATTCTACCATTAATGTGATATGTGACACTGGCTGGACACTTCTCTCTCTGATCCTTTTTCCTCTTCAGCACTGAAGTGAAACTGTTAGACTTAAAAGTCTCTAAGAGCTTTATCAGTTCTGACATTCTAGGCTTCATGTACAGTAGATTGAACCATATAAAATTGCTGTGTTTCTGAGCCAAAAACAGCCGAATATCAGCAGGTGAATACTTTACAAGCTACAAACCACAGGCTAGCTTAGCACCTTCCACTGTTTGGTCTGATTTCTATTTAAGAAATCTCCATGGGGGTCTCCAAAAGGCCCTATTGAAACATACGTTTTCATGTATAGCAAAAACCTAAAAGACTATTTTGATATCAGTTTTCTTTGAGGAGAAGGATTATGGGTGATGCTCCCTTTCTACTTTAAAATTTTATGTACTATTTGTTTTATTTGACCATAAGTATGTTTCTTGTATAATAAGGGGGAGGGGCTCCTTCTATTTTGAAAAAATAAAAATAAATGCCCATGTGTTTCTCTTTTTCATTGCTGACACTATTACAGATGTCCCTATTTTGCCCCTTTTCTCCCTCTCCACCCTTCACCACACCCTTCACCACATTGTTGTCTGTATCCATGGGCTATGCATATGTGCATATATGTTAACGCCTATGTGTTTCTTGCATGGAGGATCACAGAACATGTTTGGTCCCATGAGCAATTATGTTCACTCCCTGAAAATCTGTGCTAAACCCATATGTGCTCAAGCCTTCCCTTACCTCTTCTTGAGGGAGAAGGTGGAGACCTGCTGAAGAAGATGTGGCATATGGGAAAATAACAGACTCAAAGTCTATAGCTGGATGGGACTTTAAAGACCACCCAGCCCCAAATCCCAATAAAATACGGAATGGCAGTCAAGTGTAAGAATGAATGGGCAGGTGATAGATGCTTAAAGAGTTTTGAGAAATGAGACTGAGTAGATCTAGGAGTCAGAGAAAGGTAGAATTTGAACTAGGCTTTGAAAGATAGGGCAGAGTGAGTGAAGGGAACAAGACAAGGGAAGCTTAGAGACAGAAATGGGGCAAGGCCACCCCTGAAGAGAGAAGGCAGGCCCAGTGTGGCTGCTCTGAATTTCAGTCCCCATCCAGGGAAGAGACGCCCCTTCACACAGCCTTTATACTCACAGGGCTTAATTAATAAAATAATACAAAGTCTTTTGTGTGCAAGTTGCAGAAACCTAATATACATTAGCATAATCACAAAGGAGGATTTATTAAGAGGAGTAGGGGGTCATCACAAGTTCAAAGAGAGGCAGCAGACAGTAAGGCAATTCCAGGGATCTCCTGGCCTAAAACTACTTACTTGTCTGAATTCACAAAGTAGGGGCTCGGTATATCTCACACTCCCAGAGTGGGACTAAATAAAATTCTAGGAGTTTAAGGTGGTATAATGTGAACACTCTAATAGTCTATGATATAGTTAGTCCCCTCAGCCCTCCCACCCTCTATCCTATCCCAGTTGTCTGGGAGTGCTATCCCACTCTTCCCTCAGCCCACAGGCTCTTTTGTCTGCACTGATTCTGCCCTCTGCTGGCCAGATCCAGCATATCACTTTGAGCCCTCAAAGCCAAATTTCAGTAATTACTCATTCAACAGATACTTATTGAATGCCTACTATGTGCCAAGCTCTCATTTGGGCACACACAGGATACATAAGAAAAAAGATCAAAGAAACCTCCACCCAACAGATAAGAGCATTTTCTACATGTGAGGCCGTGGCCTTAACATTTTATACACATTAACTCGCTTACCTTTTAAAACCTTAATAACAACCATATTTAGTAGATGCCTTACAATTACTTCAATAAAACCCACTTGTTCTTCATCTAGCCCCTTCAGTACCTCCAACTCAGTATGCTGGCACACACAGCCCAGAGCGTGGATCTGAACAGTCCCCAGAAATGAATGGGAAAGTGATTTTGGGGAAATGATGGCAGAGTATTGGCACCAGTAGACTGAAGTTGGAAGAAGAGATTGAGATAGGAATCTATTGAGGGAGCACTTTTCAGGGAGAACCTGCAAGGGAGAGAGTGAGGTAGAAAGGAAAGGGGAAAAGCCAAATAAGGTGTTGTCTCAGGTCATGACTAGCCCTGGCCTGATCGACAGGGAACTGTTAGACATGGCTGGGGCATAAACCACATGACAGGATTACACCCCCTTGAGTTAAGGGGGCAGGCCGTTGATGCCCCCATACCAGTCAGTCATTGGTTGAGGTCCATCCATGGAGGGAGCAAGGACAAGTGGAGGGTTGTGAGGAGGTTCCATCAGCTGAGGGCAGTTTTCTGGAGAAGGGTGGAACCTGTGAGCTGGTGCAGGCTAGAGCAGTGGGAGAAAGCTAAGCAAGGAAGTTGTCTTGACTGGAGATTAACAACAGCCTGGGTCTTCAGGAAGATTCTAAAGCTCAATTTCCATCACAGAATTGGCTCCATCTTTTGTGACTATCTTCTTCTACCCCGTGGCAGTCAACATTGGCTGCTGGCTGCCAGGGGAAGCAATTAACCTCCTAGGAGGCTCACATTTGGCTGAGGCCAAGTCTTTGGAGAAGGGGCATCTCTGAGCTGGTGGCAACCAAAACAGCAGCTGGGGAAATGGGTCTGCGTGGGGCTCTGTCAGCATGTTCTACAGCTGTGATTTGGGGGTAGTGAGCAGAAGCAAGAGTGTCACATCTTGAGAGATCCTTCTAGCTTAAGAGACAAGAGCACACACCAAAAAAAAAAAAAAAAAAAAAAAAAAAAAAAAAAAAAAGAACAAGATAACACCTAAGCAATAAAAACATATTTAAAAAAAGAACTGGTAGGATTTGATTAGAATGCTCTATTCAGTCATTCAGGGACTCAGAAAAATGATTACTGTCCTCAACATGTAGCTTCCAAGTTTACTATGGTGTAAACCAGTGATGGCGAACCTTTTGAGCTCGACGTGTCAGCATTTTGAAAAACCTAACTTAACTCTTGTGCCGTGTCACATATAGAAATTTTTTGATATTTGCAACCATAGTAAAACAAAGACTTATATTTTTGGTATTTATTTTATATATTTAAATGCCATTTAGCAAAGAAAAATCAACCAAAAAAATGAGTTCGTGTGTCATCTCTAACACGCGTGTCATAGGTTCGCCATCACTGGTGTAAACATTTCTTTCTCTTTTTTTTTCTTATATTTTTATTGATTTCAGAGAGGAAGGGAGAGGGAGAGGGAGAGAAAGATAGAAATATCAATGATGAGAGAGAATCGTTGATTGGCTGCCTCCTGAACCACCACCACACTTTCAATCGCACTGTACGTGCGCGCCCGCACGTGGTATTTTGTGGAAGAGCCACACTCAAGGGGCCAAAGAGCCGCATGTGGCTCGCGAGCCGCAGTTTGCCAACCACTGCTCTGTCCACTAAGCCAAACCAGCCAGAGCGGTGTAAGCTTTTCTAATTAGTGAAGAGAGATAAAGAACAGAAGTCCAGTGCCAGGGATCTACTCTTAAACAAGCAAGGCAAAAGCTGCATAAAGCCTCCTGCCCACATCCATTGATGAGGGCTTAGTAACATGGCTAACAACTGGCCGCGAGGGGCGCTGGCAAATGAGGCTCCAATCTGGGCAGTCACATTCCAGCCAAATCTCTATTACTATGGAAGGAACTAGTGGATTTTCACGGACAGTTAGTAGTCTTCACCCCATCCCTCTCACCCTTCCCCCAAGATTGGTCATGATAAAAAAATGTACAGCTTCTGCCAGGAAGGAAGAAGTGCTGCTACTCTGATTCGACCTTTTGGTTTGTTTGTTGTGTTTGTTTTTTGGGGGGTAGGGATGGGGGAGGGGGATCTTGTGGATATAACTAAACCTGTTCTGGGAGTGTGACTTTTACTCTTTTTTTCCTGGCACTGGTCTCTCCTCTCATTGGTAATGTCTAAGACACTGGTCTAGGCATGGGAGAA